CCCTCCCTGGAACCCCCTCCCTCCCCGGGACCCCTCCCCCTCCCTCCCGGGCCCCCCATGCTGGGCTCGCCCCGCACCTGTTGTAGAGGTTGTTGCGCCGCACCATGCGCAGGAAGCCAGTGGGGTCGGTCACCGAGTTGAGCTTGTTGATCATCTCTTCGAACTGCTGGTCCATGATGTCTCCGGCCTCGCTCTCCGTCTCACTGCTGGCACAGGCCCTGCGGGAAGAGGCAGGGACGCCACTCAGAAAGAGAGCGCTGGACCGCCGGACTCGCCCAGCCAACCAGGCACTGCGCCTCCTGGGCCAGGCCTCCCTGCCTGCCCTCCTCGGAGGCCTGAGGCTCCTCCCACACAGCTTTCTTCCGCTTGCTCTGAAGGTCTGTAGCCTGTCACACCGCTCAGCTGTGAGCGTGCCCAGGCCCATCACGGGCCCCTCCCACCCCAGACCATTCCTGGGCAGAGAGGACGGTGGCACGGACAACCCCAGACCTGGGGGACACAGCCCAGATGGCACTCAAAAACAGGACACAGATGTGACCGCAAGTGGCTTTGCCATTTGGTGGCGTGGGCACTTTAGACCAAGTCTGCTCCTCCAGCCCTTTTGACAAGTTGAGCATGAACGCATGTCCATTTCTGAGCAAGTGTGTATTTTCTCTGTGACACACAGTAACACAGCCCCTGGCAGCATGTCAGAAGTATACAGCTACCAGGAAGGCATCAGGGTGCCAGAGGCAGAGTCTGGCTCACAGCCCCTCCTTTGCTGGGGCTCTGGGCAGCCCCCTCCAGTCCCTGGCACACAGCAGGGTTGTGGTGAGATGACCTTTCTAATGTGCAGAGCGCAGAGCCTATCATCTTAGATCTGAGCACTGGGTATGAGAGTCACCGGTCCTAGGCCAGCTTCCTCCTGTGTGGACACACACAGTGACCTCCTCCCCACCCCCTCACCCTGAACACCACCACCCCCCCCAGCCCGCAATGGGAGAGGGAGGAGCTGAGGACAAGAAACAAATCACCAGGGCTCCCTGTGCTGGAAGGCTCTGGATGCCTCCACAGGCCCGAGCTGAGCCGGCCAAGGCTTGGAGCTCTCTTGGGAGCCAGCAGAGGACTCTTCACGGAGACCCTGGTAAATATCACTCCACAGCTCCTCTGTCCAGGGACCCATTTGTCATGTGAACGCGGCTGCCTGCCTAGAGCTGAGGCGTCTGCTCTGTGGAGGGAGCAGACTGGCTGGGCTGTATCGCTTCCATGATCTCCAGCTCTGCTGGAGCTGTCAGCCGCACCCTGAGCCCTCAGAAGCCCAAGCTTAATGGGGTGGGTTTCCTAGTTCCTGACCCTTCAGAGTAACACGCCATGTCACTGATAAGGCCATCGCCATTTACGGTCCGGCCTGTGCAGCCGGTCCAGGAGTGCCACCAGTGCCGCCGGTTCCCTTGCCACATCTGCACCTCCGGTGACGTCCTGAGCGTGACCCCTCACGAGCCCTGGCTCAACTCACCGCCCCTTGACACATCACACCTGCTTCCTAGACCACAACAACCCTTTGGCGTTCTCACTACGTCTCACTACCAGTCCTGTGTCCCATCCCTCGTGCGGTTAATGGTTCTTCACCTTTACGAGCCATGCTGATACTGATACACTGTGAGCTTAAAAAGGAACACAAATCCCGAGATGACACATCTGAGGGAGACTAAGAAAACCAAGTTACTCGTTTGTGACTCTTGCTCATTTCAGCAGAGTAGACTTCAGAAATGCTCACTGTAAGCCAGCTGTGAAGGTACAAGCCTGTGATCCCAGGAGGGAGCGTCTCAAGTTCAAGGCTAGGGAGGTACATAGCGAGATCCTGTCTCAGACAACAAATTAACTATCCAGTAAGCATTTGCCAAACCCCAAACGAAGCCTCGATGGTTTAAAGTCCAGAAGCCTCTGCCTTTGAGAACCTCAGCAACAAGGGGTAGAATATTTGCCTAGCAAGAACAAGGCTGGGCTCAAACCCCAATACCTCCAGTCAAACCCCAATACCTTCTCAGTCCTTTGGCTGAGAGGTGTTGGATGGGCATGCCAGCGCCCACAGGAGTGTCCACGCCGCACAGGCTGCTGAGCCGTGGCGGGGAGGAGGAGGGAGGGAGACGGGAGCGCATCAGTGGGCATGCCGTCCGGGCTCAGCAGAAAGAGCTGGGCACGCAGATGCAGCTGGGGAGTACCAAAGGCCTTGGGAAGAGGAGATGCCAGCCCTGGGGCCATAGGAAGCATAGAAGGAGGCCACCTGGAGTCAGTGACCCCGTGCATCTGACACCTGGCACACCTCTCTTTTCCCTCTGTCCCATCTACATTCTGGTGTATCTGTCTGTCTGTCCATCAGGCTCTGGCCCCTGGATGCTGCGTCTTTGTCCTCCCCTGGGCTGGACCACCACCATTTCCCTCCAGCTCTCTAGCCTGAGGGTTCTGGCCTGGACTTCCTTTCTACCCCTAGACCCTTGAGGGTGGCATTGTCCATCCACCAGCATTCACCCCACCCGACTCTGTATGCCCAGGATTATATGTGGTTGAGATTTAAATCATTAGTCCATGAGAAGAGGTGGGTGGTGGATCAAAGTCCACCAGGGGGGCTGGGAAGGTGGCTCAGTGGTAGAGAGCTTGCCTTGCATGCATGAGGCCCTGGGTTCGATTCCTCAGCACCACATAAGCAGAAAAAGCTGGAGGTGGTGCTGTGGCTCAAGTGGTAGAGCCCTAGCTTTGAGCTGAAGAGCTGAGGGACAGCCCAGGGCCTAGAGTTCAGGCCCCATGACCAACAACAACAAAAAAATCCACCAGGCTGGCCTGAGCAGGGGAGTGTCAGAAGGAAGCTGTGTGAAGAGGTGGCAGCCCCCTCCTCGGTGCCCACCTGCCCTGCCCACATCTGCTCCAGGGCTCTGGGGACTAGAAATCACTGGGCATCAGGAGCAGGCTCCAGGATGCTACTCACTGTGCGCCCCCCTCCCCCCCAGCAGGGCCATGAAGCCATGAATGAAGCCCCGCGGAGCGGTGCGAGTAGAGCTCATCGTCTGTCTGTTGTCCACTCTTGGGGCCAGGCCCTGGCAAGAGGTTCTGGAGAGGATTTTCATTTGTGAGCACAGCCCCTGATCTCTCGACTCCACGCTCTCCCCTCTGTCATCTGCCTGACAGTCAGGGCTGGGGCTCCACGCAGGCACGCCGTTATTTATGGCTCTGCATCCACTGCTAACTCATTCTTTCTTCATCCCACTCTCATCTGGAAGCTTCTCTTGCTAAAGACCAGCCTGACAACCTGCAACTGGAAACAGCTTCTGCACCACAAGCTCCGTGGAAGCGACCCCAGGCCCCCCCGCGGCCCCAGCCACACCACAGCACCCCTCAAGACCAGGTGAGATCCTTCCCCATGGCTGCTGCCACCACTCAGCCTCGGATGCTGGCATCCCAGGCCGGTGCACCGGCACCCCAGTGGTGGGCTCTACACCAGCAGCAGAGAATCTTGCAGAGGTGGAAGACACCTGGGGGAATTACCTGAGTCACACATGGCCTGCCAGTCTAAATCCGTTTCCTCCAGAAGCCACTTTGCAAGAGCTTCAGAAACTACAGGTGTGAGATTTGGGAACTGGTCATTGCGGAGACCTTACTTATCAGTCCAGCAACTATTAAGAGAACAGAATAAAGTGTCTGGGGCTTCCCTTTTGGCGGAGCATCCTAGAACTGGGGCTGGCTCCATGGGGATGGGACTAGTGGGGGGAAAGGCTGTGGCCTGAGAGCGAGAAGGAATGGTGCAGCAGATGTGCAAAACTTTGACTTCTAGAAATGGCTGCTGACCCCCAGGGTCGCAGACTGCAAGCAGCATGTTTATTTGTTTTTTGGGGTTTTTTTTGGGTCCGGTCATGGGGCCTGAACTCTGGGCGCTGTCCCTCAGCTCTTCAGCTCAAGGCTAGCACTCTACCACTTGAGCCACAGCGCCACTTCCGGCTTTTTTTCTTTTTGCTTATGTGGTACCGAGGACTTGAACCCAGGGCCTCAGGCATGCAAGGCAAGCGCTCTACCACTGAGCCACTTTCCCAGCCCTGCCACTCTCCACCGAAGCTTCCTCACGGACTGCGTGGCCCATGGGAACATGTTCCAGCTTGGCCAACCCCGCTGGCAGTGGCCCTCAGCACCCACTCCACACTGCCCATGCTGCCCTCGGCTGCACTGCAGGCATCAGCCGTCTCTCTCGAATCGCTGGTGTTTGGAGTAAACTAGGTTTAATTCCTTGCTCCAGTGTGTCACTCCAGAAATTGCTTTTCTCTGTATCCTCTCAAGACTGTAATCCATACTATTATCTCCCAGTTGTGATTTCTAGAGCAAACCTTCTGTTGTCTGAAGGTAAATGATTACATTTACCAGCCAGGAAGCGACACGTGTGCATGCGTAGCAATGATCAATACATTCTGCTGTGCTCTTTGATTGCTCAGCTGGCCAAAGAAGAGAAATGCTCTTCCAAAATGCTGAAGAAAATCATTTGATTTGGGGGGAAAAAGCAGTGAGAGAAGCCTGGCCTTTGGGATCCAGAACAATGGTAGTTTCCGCTTGGAAGTGTTTGGTGAGTGCCCAGTGGAGCTCGCAGCCAGGAATCAGCTCATCTGTGAGGGTTGGAAGGAGCATCACAGGGTTTTCTCAGTGTTCTGCTTTCAGTAAGCAGTGATCAGATAAAAGGGAAGGTTTTCTCCCCTAGCTACTCCTCAGCCTACCTGCGAAATGCAGGAAGACTAATGCATCCGAGGCTTCCTTACTTCGCGTCTTTAATTGTGAAAATTGTTGCTGGGAAAGTGCTGGCAACAGAGTTTTCCCCCGACAGTGCACTTGCTGTCAAAGCCCAGCATGGGCATGTGAACATGGGTCACAGGTGCAAAGCCCCAGAGTCTGGGACATGTAGAGAACCATTCTTCCTGGACGCTACCTCGGGGCCAAGCCCTCTTTCTTATGGGTGAAGCAGGATGGTTCTGGGAGGGGAGCACTGTGACTGGAGCATAAGTGTGGATGTCAGTACCTGGCAGGCGTTGGGTGGCCTCATCCGCCCCTCCGAGTTCTGGGGCTCCACCCGGGTGCAGCCTGAGAGCTGGACACCCCTGGTCCTCCAGGCGCCATCATCCGGTGGAGAAAGTCACCCCAGCCGCAGAGGGCAGGGCACAGGGCGGGGCCACACGTGGAGGCCCGGGGCAGAGGGCAGCTGCAGGGC